CCTCCTGGAGCTTCCAATGGGAACGTGGGTGGGAAGATAGAAACCTCCAGGCTCAGGCAGATGTGTGTGACGTGGGCATCCATGTCCGGTAATGACTGTGAGGAGGGGAAACGAAGAGGTAGGCGCTGGAGAATGTCAGGGACCATTTTTACAGATGCCTCTATTCACTGTCTGTCCCACAGGTAACTCTGACCCCAGGAGAGCAGTTTGTCATCTTTGTTCCCTCTGTACATCTGTCCCTAGCCTGATTCCCTGGTGCATGTTTGGTACTAATTCGTATTTTCTCAGAGGTTGGATGGATGGATGGGTTCTTTTTTTAAAATATAATTTTCTTTATTTTATGATTATGAATGTTTTGCCTACATGTATGTATGTGTACCACATGTATGCCTGGTGTCAGTGTAGGTGAGGGCATCTGATCCCCTGGAACTGGAGTTATAGATAGTTGTTAGCTACCATGTGGGTCCTGGGAACCCAACCCCAGTCCTTTGCAAGAGCAGCACGTGCTCTTAATGTCCGAGGCTTTTCTCCAGCCCCATGAATAAGTTTGTGAGTGGAGGGAGGAATGAGGTCTGAGCAGTAGCTGAAGTGCCCCTGCTGTCCTCGGTGCAGCTAGGAAGACTATGTCAGAAATCCAGGGTGTCCCTCCCTACGCCTGTGTTAGACATGGAGAGAAAGAGGGGGAGGAGAGGGGGAGCGAGACAGCCAGTTATAATATTGACACTAGTAATGGGGATGGGGGAGGGGGAGGGGGAGGAGGGAGAGTGAGTCAGCCAGTTATAATATTGACACTGGTAATGGGGATGGGGGAGGGGGGGAGGGGTAGGGGGGAGACTGGTTCTCCTGTCTACCTCTCCCATCCCATTAAGTGAGTCACATGGTCCATCCAGCAGAGCACCTCCCTGTGGCCAGTTCATTGTGCAGAAGATGGCACGGGGGGGAGGGGCAGAGGGTCAAACTGTCCTTCTGTTAGGCAGGCCAGCCAGGATGGGGGCCAGACTGCTGCTGGCCCCGTGTCTTCAGTCCTATAAGCCGTGTGTTACCTGACCAGGAAGGTTGGGCAATGATAACAGCAGGGATAAGGCAGAGCATACTGACCTGGGGAGCCCCAGAGCAGGAAGCGTGGCTCATATTTCTAAGGCTTCTAGAACACCAGGTGGAAGGCCAGATGCTGGAGGCCAGGCCTGGTCATTGTGATGTAGGTGATAAGTGGAGTCACATTTGGCTCTGATTTGTAGTTTATTCTGTGTGCTCTCTTTGCCCCACTTGCCAGGAGGCTCAGGCCGCACTTGGTGTCTCTTGTGGGAGCCTGCTAGTGCCTTGGTGGGCAGCCCCTATCGAGATGAGACTCTTCTTCCTCCAGATGGCCTCTGAGCAACTCCCGCAGCACGTGCTTCTCTGGTGAGTGCTGCAGGATCGGAAGGAAGAAGCCGTGCATTGGACGTTCTCATCTCCATCTTCATTACGAGCCTGGAGCTGGGGAGACCTGGCCCATCCCCCTCCTAGCTCCCGTTTGTGCCAAGAATGTAGCTGGGACAGGCAGCTTTCTGGGGCCTGGGAGTGGACTGACAGTTCTGCTCCCATCTGGCAGAAGTGGGCGGAGGAAGGAGAGAGAGGGGAGGCACATGGGGTGGGATAGATTGTTGGGAAGGGCAGACTGCCTGCATCCTGTATGTACCATGTGACCATGGGAGGGGACAGTGGGAGCTGAGATTGACCCAGGCCTTTCAGCCACCCTCACCACCCCCATATTTCCTGATCCCCCACTGGGTGCCATGCACTGTGTTCATCTGCGACACTGCAGTGTGGGACATCACCCTCAAACTCCCTTAGTATTTGGTGGTACTTTCAGGGAGGTGACCTCAAAGGGACAGCCCTGGGCTCATCCTGGGTAAAACAGCTCCCAGCAGGGCACAGAAATTTACTATGAATGTGAAGTGGCATGCTGTCCTGGAGGGCAGTGTGCTCTGTTGACACTTGCTATATTACTATACTAATTGTAAAGGCAAGTTGGATGGAAGAAAACCAGGTAGCCTCGTGAGCATGGCTGAGGTCTGGACACACATGGTGTTATTTCCCATGAATGGCAACATCTGGTCAACAGGGCTTTTGTGGTGTATATTGACCTGTGTGTCACATCTTGGTGACTCTGTGGACCCCTATGATACACTGCATTTTCTTCAAAATCTTACCCAGCAGGGAAGCTTATGACATTTAATTTACAGACGTGGAAACAGAGTTCAGAACAGCAAAGTTGTCTTCCCAAAACCCTGAGTCATGGAGAGATAGACTTCCGAGAAGTGACACTCTGCCAGAGTCCAGAGGACACAGCCAGGCCTGCCTGTCACTGCAGTCACTGCTCCATGAGCCCTCCAGGGTTGCCAGGTGACAGCCCTCCAAGGCTAAGCTCTGCATAGCCTGCCTTGGGGAAGGGCTATAACCCATAACCAGGCTCTGTGGGGCAGAAGGTGCCCCGGGGATGCGTCAGGTGGGAAAGGTGGGATGCAGAGAGGCTTCATTGTGTGTGAAGTTGACTCTTGAGGGCTGACCCTCCCCTCCTCCTAGGACCTGGTGTTCCTCAGATTTGGCGAGTCTCTTAGTGGCCCTGCTGTGCCAGCTCCTGAGGACCTCCTTGAGGCTCTGGATCTATTTAAGCCAAGAGTCCCAGCCCTTTCTCCCAAATGACAATGTGGCGAATGGACCTGTGGGTGTGGAGTGGGGGGCATGCTAGCTGTGGGAGGTTTGGGGGTGGCAGTGTGGTCATGGCCATGGCGCAGGGTGTCTCGGCCAAGGTCTAGTCTGTGAGTCAGACCTGGGACTGCCTCCCAAGTGACATGCAGAGTTCAAAGAGTTCAAAGTCCCATCTAAGAGCCTAGATGGGACTGGGTCTTTGTCTCAGTAGGCAGGGCTAGCCTTCTGTCTGAGGAGGGGTCCTGCAGGGCTGTGCATGGACTCTGGTTCAGGCTGTGACAGCTGGACGGAAGTCCAGGGTGAGCAGATGATTGTGTTCTGCTTTGCGTCAGTCAGGTCTCCAGGGCTCCCTTCTTGTTAGTTGGGTTTTGTTTTCCATTCAAACTAAACTTCTAGCAAAGTTGGATGTTTCAGAGGCTGTGAAATAGCCTGTGATGGCCTGCCACCTCCCTGCCCATCCTCAGCAGCCAGTGTTCCCGATTGTCCGAAGGTACAAAGTAAGCCTCCTCTGCACACGCCACCCAGGCCTGCGCATCGCTCCGCATACCACACTGTACACAGCAGTGGCGTGCGTGGCATGATTTTTACATGCTTATTTTTTTCAACTTTTTGAGATAGACTCTCCCTGTATGTAGCCCTGGCTTGCCTGGAATTTACGTAGCCCAGGCTGGTCTCAAACTTGCAGTCCTCCTCTGCATCTCAAGTGCTGGGAGCCTGTGAAGCATTCCATCCCATTTGCACACTGGTTGGTTTGACCCTGTGGCTCACCTCAGGTCTGTCTCCTACCTGTGCATATGACTTTACTCCACTCCCTTCTACATCTACACTCTGGTTATGGAGAGGAAGAACAAGCTAGCCACTCCTCCGTGCACATGAGACTGACAGGGAACAGTCCAGTAACCTGGGGCTCTGTGCAAACCCCCTCTTTTAACACTGCTCTTGATAGCCTCGCTCCTTAACTTGAACATATTACGTGCACACCCCTCTCCAAACAGTGCACCTAGCAATCTTGGACCCCGCCCCCTCAGACCCCACCTACATCAGGCCACACACCCTGCTACTCTGAGCAATGGGATACATTTCTTCTCTCCTTGATAACTCTAATACTTGGACAGTCTCTATTCAGTTGTAAACTCCGTATGTCAAGATAGACCAGAAAAGCATGGACTTGTTTCAGTTACATGCCAGGGAGCTAAACTGTATCCTCAAAGTGGACTTTTAGGGAGCATCTTCTATTGACCATGTTATGTCTATGCATACTACCTGCTCCCTTGTAGCGAATCTTCTGTGGCTTTTCTTTCAATAAAGTTCCCTTACTACTACTGCACATCTGGGTGGGCTTTTATCTCATTTCCTTGAGTAAGAGGCTAAGGCACTGGAAACACTCGGCCCAGACCCCAACTGTGGTTAACAGATGGACATGCAGACTGCTACCTATCTCTCACATGACACACTGCGCCACACTTCACCTGGGACATCCAGTGTGTGTCCTCCAGGGTATGCGCATGCATCCTTGATCACAGGCACAGAGAATCGGGGGGCCAGGGTCTTTCCTTTGTTCATTCATGGATCTGGAGCTCTGCAGCAGCTCCCTGTAGTGTTCGTGTGCGCAGGCCAGTGCTGAGGTCTGCAGCCGGGCCTGGTCTGCACCCTGTTCTTGGGGAGCTGATTGGGGTGGGGGTGCAGTGCAGGAGTCTGTGCAGTTCCCTGGTGCCTGTGCTCCAGCCTCCAGTACATAAGCCAAAGGTTTGGCATGGGCAGGAGGCGGGCGAAGACTTCCTAGAGGAAGAAATACTTAGCTGGGTAGATGGTTAGCGTCTGATGGTGGCATCCATCCTGCAGTTCACAGGCCACATGCATCTCAGGCTGCTATGAATACAGGTGAACACGGTGGTTGATGGCTAGATCATGTCCAATGTCAGAAAGTTGGACACCCCTGTCTGAGCTAAAGCTGGGAAGAACCACAGAGCCTCAGGCACAGAATGGACAAAGGTCCTCAGGGAGAGGATGGTTCATCATGCAGTGAGGAAGTCCTTAGACCACCATGGCAGGAGGCAGGGTGGGTCTGTGGGCTGGGAAGGCAGCAAGGGAGGGTCTCAGTAGAAGAGAAATGGGTTGCACCTCTTATGAACGGGGCAGGGGGGCCTGCCCCCTGTGTGAACCCTGCCAGAAGGTACCCCAAGAGTGTCCAGTGCTCTGATGACCCTTTGGACTGTAAACTTCAGGAGGTCTCTTAGGGTGAGGGGTCATGGGGTCCCTAGGATCCTGGAAGTCCATCCCCTGAGACATGCGCTGTTTATATCTTACAGATGAGATGGACCACACTCCCCCAGCACGCTCCGAGCCTCTGGTCTCAGGGACCCGCACACCCCCAGTGCGGAGGAACAGCAAGCTGGCCACCCTGGGCAGGATCTTCAAACCCTGGAAATGGAGAAAAAAGAAAAATGAGAAGCTAAAGCAGACGTCAGGTATGTGCTGGGGAGAAGGGGCCCTACTGGCATCCTGGGGAGTAGGGAGAAGGGGCCCTGCGGCGTCCTGGGGAGAAGGGGTCCTGCGGTACGTGCTGGGGAGCGAGGGTATCCGGACCCATGTGCTGGACTTAGCTGTCACCTGGCACCACAAAGGACACGGTGTCCTGTGGCCTCCGAGGACCGGGGGCTGCTCAGCCTCCTCAGTCACTTCGGTATACTGGCCTCCTGGGCGGGGTTGGCCAGCACCAGGCAGTGCATAGACTCAAGGACACACCAGTCAGCTAACAACAGACTCTGACTCGGTGCCCACTGGCTAACATTCTCCCTTGCAGACCACACTCCACAACAAGCCCTCCACCCACAAATGACTGCCACGGTCCTCACCCTCCCATTCAGATGAGGCAAGGTCCCAAGTCTGGCTCTTGCTGTTTTTAGGAGCTGTCTGGGTGACTCTAAGGATCAAGGCCCATGGTGTGGTCTGGACACCTCCCAGCTGCAGGTTCTGTGAGAAGGCAGCAGGCCTGCTTTCTCATGCCTAAGTGCTGTCTGAGGACGCTTACCCTGCCTCCTGCCACCCAAGGACCCAGAAGGCTCCCTACTCACTTGGGCTGCACCCTCACACCCGGCCAGTGCCAGCTCGGTGGGAAGTAGAGTTGCGCCATGCTGTTCTGTTGCCCCTGCCTACTCGGAATCCACCATGGGAACCATGGCCGTGAGACTGCACTGTGGCATGGTACCCAGGAGCGAATGACCAAACCAGAGGCCCCAGCAGCAGGTGTTGCCACGGAGGGGCCCGTGGCATCTGGCAGGTGTGAGCTTCTGTTTGAAGACAGCTCCCATATCCTGGCCTCCTTAGAGAGAGGAAACAGAGAGGAAGGCTGCTCACCAGGGGCAGGGAGCTGGAGGGACCTGAGCATGAGCCACCAGCCCTGGGCTCTGCAGAAGAACCCCAGGTCCTGAGGTGCCAACCCCCATGAGCCAGGGAGCCAGCAGCATGGCCCTCAGGGCTCTCTCTATGAGTCGCTCCCCTATTAGTTATGGCTGGAAGCAATTAGTGAGGTTGCTGTGCATGTGGAATTAGTCCTGGGCCTCGGGGATGTGCCTGGTAAGTACCTGTCTCAGGCTGTTGCCTCTGAGGTCCCTGGGGACTCCAGCTTCCTGTCCAGCTCTGAAGAGGCCCGTGCTCCAGGGCTTCGAGGATGGCAGAAACACATCCCAGGTGCCCACAGTGCCCAGCCTCCGGGGGGCTGTAACAGAGATGGCAGCAGTGGGCTCAGCACGCACATGTCTATGCAACTTACCCAGTTGTTTCAACCACTCAAGAAGTTGATTGACAAATTCTTCTTGACAAGAATGAAAATAAACCAATGCCACTCAAGAATTCACGAGCACCTGCATCCAGTGTGCCAGGGTCAAAGCAGACAGGAAGCTAGGTCCCATACCTGAGGGCCTGTCACAGGGCAGGAGTGGCCAGGTGATCCAGGGCCTCTTTAACCCTCAGGTGCTGCAAGATTGGAAGCTGGAACTTCCTTCTCTGGGCCCTGTGGCTCTGCAGCTCTGTGCTGTGTGAGGTGGTCAAGCTGCTCTGGGACCTGGGACGGGCACAACCTAAGGCTCCTGCGGGAACATCTGCCGTAGCCCCACCACTGGGGCCTCCATTTAGGCATTCGGAAGCTGGGAGATGTTCCCTGGGGCTCTGTGTGCTTCAGTATGTCCAATCCTGACATTAGAATGAGGGGAGGCACAGACCTTCAGGCTTTAAGGAAGATGTGGGGCAAATGGGGTTCTGAGCAGGACGGGAACTGAGCGTAGCAGCAGGGGCTCTCAGAGGCCGTGTGGTGGGCATCTCAGTTGCGTTGCTCCCAAGTAGGGCAGGTGGCCCAGATCCAATCCAGCCACTAACGAGCTGCACATCACGGACGGAGTTCGTGTTCTTGTGCCCAGCAGGGACAGCAGGTCCTCCAGCTGCTGCTTTGGGTCATTGGTAGGACTTCAGTCAGAGCAGGAAATGCCCCATGTCCAAGGGTGCTCACTGGAAGCACCCAGGGGCAATCAGACAGGGGCTACCCAGAGTGCTCAGACCCTCTCCTCCTCTCCCTCCTTCCCTCCTCCTCTCCTCCCCCCTCCTCCTCTTCCCTTCCTCCTCCCCCCTCCTCCTCCCCTTCCTCCTCTTCCCCCCCTCCTCCCTTCCCCTCCTTCTCCTCCTGTTTGCCCTCCCTCTCCGCCTCCCTCTCCTCCTCCCCCTCCTCTCCTGTGGCTTGGGGTGAGTGGCTGGGAGGGTCCTTCCCAAATAGGAAAGGACAGATTGCAGGTTGGATCCCTGGAAGGGCATTAGCCTGCTTCCTCCTGCCTGTCTGGTGCTGAATTCTCTGAATGCTCTTACCTGCGTTTTAGTTGAGGATGCCCCAGAAGAGACAGTGTGAACAGATGATAAGGTGGTCAGGACAGCGTCAGCAAAGGCTGGCACCAGGGTGCGCTGGGCATTGGGGCTCGGGAGGATGCCTTCATCTGCAAGTGAAGGAGTTGGGGGAGGTTGGGACACGGCCCAGGGGCCAGGAGGGAGGAGGGCATTGCGAAAGTTCATTGCAGAAGCGTTCCCTGGACTTGCTTTCCTGGCTGGATTTACGCACATTGCTTAGCCAATGGTTTAGGAAGAAAGCTCTGGATTGCTGAACAAGCTGGGCCCCTTCATTTGCCAGCAGACAGGTCCCAGCCCCAGGTGTCACTGTCTTTTTCCATAAACCCAGCACATTGCTGCGGTGCAGCAGGCCTGCACTGCTCTGGCCGTGACTTACCTGCTACTTGTGTGTCCTGCAGTGCTGGAGAAGAAGATGGCCAGCAGGCAGGGCCGGGAGGAGCTCATCAAACAGGGGCTGCTGGAGATGATGGAGCAGGGTAAGTGGGGTGGCCTTCAGGGGCATGGGAGACCTGGGTGGAGTCCCAGGGGCATAGAGGACACCTGGGAAGGGTCCCCCGGGATGCAGGGGACCCAGGGATGGGTCCTCTGGGGAGCATGGGGGATATTGGGTAGGGTCTTCCAAGCCTCATGGTCTACCTCCAAGTTGCAAACAGGAAAGTGGGATCCATCCCGGGCATGCTGCATGAGAAGCCCAGGGCAAACTCGAGTCTCTCCACGTTGGCTAACGATGTCTAACTCACATTCTGCTCACAAACCATCTCTGTGTACTCAGGTTGGTCAACGGTCTGCAGCACAGTCAATGTCCGTTAGTTCCCAGACTTATTTTTTTCGTGTTGGGGTCCGGTCAGATCCTGACCCTTGCTCTCCATGCTTTCTGGCTCTTGGAGGCAGTCAGTCATGGTTGGGAGGTTCATAGGCCCCCCCCTTCTCTAAATTTTCTCTGGACTGGAACAAGCTCCTGCCTCCCGAGTTAGGTCATCTCCAGAGCTTGTGTGTGTGCATCCAACTCCTGTCTTATCCGGTGTTTATAATTTGGTCCAAGTACCAGAAATCAGGAAGGGATTTCATGAATGAAATGAGTCTGCCTTTGATGTGGCTGGGCTGAATCACACAACCCAGGTGTGGTCCAGCCCCTCACGCGATCTCCCTTCCTGTGTCTCCGAGTAGAGTATCGTGATGATGCTGTTTTCTGGGGAACCTACCAGGCAATGGCTTGATGCAATGAACATCGAGCATCGTGTTGCACATGAAAGGGAGGCGTGGCCCCAAGCCGTGGCCTATGCATGTTGAATGCTCCACTCGGACTGTCGGAATTGGTGGGATGTTACTGCTGAGTAGAAATCTGGGCTATTGTTAATTTGGGTGGAACCAAAAAGTACCTGGCTCTGGCTGCATTGTCAACTGGGTTTGTTTTTGTCTATGTGTGTGTTTGTGATGTATGTGGATGTTCGTGTTTATGTGTGCATGTGTGTAGAGGCCAAAGGTTGCCTTTGAGTGTCTTTCCACTTATTTTTTAGACAACGTCTCTTGTGGATTCAGTTAAGATGACTTGCTGTCTCTGCCTCCCCAGGGCTGAGGTTACAGGCACCTGCCCCCATGTCCAGCTTTTCACATGAGTTCTGAGGCTGTGTACTCAGGTCCTTAAACTCACGTCAGGCATTTTATAGACAAGGGTCTCTCCAGCCCCCAGGATTTAACTTTAGATCTTGGGAAGGGGAAATAAGAACAACCATGTACCTTAAAATGTCATGTTTGGTGAATGAAGACGTGAAGATGATTTGATCAGTTAACAATGAGGTTACAGTTGGAGTAATGGAAGGTGACTTCTAGGACAGGTACCCTGGGCTTTCCTAAGCCTTCCATGTTTGTCAGATGGGATGAAATCAGACAGTTCAGCAGGAGCCAGGCCAGCAGGGGACTGTTTGCTGAGCTGAGGTGGAGCGTCTTCCTGGACTCAACCTGCTCACTGGTCATATCATATACCTACCTGCTGGCTCGTAGACGAAGTTAGGAAGTGGGCCCACCCTTTCTGAAAAAAGTCAGATGGTGAACATTTTAGGCTTTGGGGTTGTGTTAGCCTTGTATTACTATAATGGAACACCAAAGACAGGATAACTTTACAAAGAAAAGAGGCCTATTTAGCTCACAGTTTGGAGGTTCAAGGGCATGACACTAACAGAGGCTCGGTTCTGATGGATGCCTTTCCTATGGGTTGAATGTGAAATGGCCCCCAGCCTCACATATTTGAATACTTGCTCACCAGGCTTGCACAGCAAGTGCTGTTCTGGGAGACCGTGGAGCCTTTAGGAGGTGGGCTCTAGCTGGAGGGAGGGGAGCCCAAGGGCTATAGCCCAGTGCTGCTTCCGGCCCTATTCTGTTTCCTGACCCTCAGAGATGGCAGCAGGCAGCCCCCCCAAAGCCACCTACCTCTGCGGACTCTGTCACACACACCCCATTGAGGGACTGTATGCTTTCCAACTGTGACCCCAAATAAGTCTGCCTTCTGTTCAGCTGTTCTTGCTGGGTATTAGGTGACATTGGTGAGTAGAGTCACTAGTACAGCTTTCTAAACTGATGGTACCAAGGTGGCACACAGTTACATTACAGGAGATGCACTGGTCTATGTCCCTGTGACTGCCCTCCCCCTTCAATCTGCCATGGGACTCCATCCTCATGACCTTACCAAACCTTAACCCTTTCTTTCAAACACTATATATAGTTGGATTAAATTTCCACCTTCTGAACACCATTAGCCTGTAACCTTGGGGCTTAAGCTCCTGCTGGAGTTGCAAGGGACCATCACAGAGGCCAGAGTCTGTTGCCACCACCCGCCCCCGCCGTTCTGTTCTTGGTTAGAAACAGAAACAAAAAATACATACTGAACAGGCATGGATGTGTGCCAATAAAACTTTATTTATGGATAGAGAGATTGGAATTTAAAATCTTTTTTTTTTAATTTGTGAGTCACGAACTATTATGTTTCCTTTGGTTTCATCCCCAACTATTTAAAGATGTGAGATCCATTCTTAGTTCGGGGCCATATATAACAGGTGGAAGGCTGGCTTGGGGCCAGCCTCCCTCCCTCCCATCATTCTTTCAGCCTTGCCCAGTGACTGTGGACCAGGATCTAGAATGGTTCCAAACAGTCTCCATCCTAGACAAGTGAACACCGAGTCATTAACAGATGCTGCAATATTTGACCGAGTGCTTACAGCGTGCCAGGGCCTATGTTAGGTGCTGACTCTCCAGGTAACACAGACACTCGACTCCAAGAATGCAGAAGCCTGTGAGGCACACAGAAAAATCACAGCAGAGTTGAAAATAGTGACTGCAGGACACACAGGACACCTGGAGGCCATGACACTAGGTGTGAACCGTTAGAGGTCTGGGAGATGGTGCTTGGAGACCAAAGGCAAGTTCGGAGCCCAGGCTGGTTGCACAATGCGGACACATAGGAGCTGTTTTTGTCCAGTGATGGGAATGAAAGCCAGGGCCTCTCATGGCCTCCCACAGGCAGGGCAAGAGCTCTCTCGCTGAGCTACACCCGGGAGCATTTGGAGCTTTCTGTTATCCGGCAGCAGTTAGATTAGATGCTTTAGGGGTGGGACCAAGCATCCACACTTGATAAACTTCCCCAGCTGACTCCAGCTTTCTGCAGAAAAGGTGGGGGAAATGCCATGGGCCTGGAAGTGGGAACTGAGGGACTCACAGCCCTGCAGCCCCTGGGGGTAACGAGTCCGAGGCCCCATGTACAGAGTCAAGGAAAGGACCAGGAGAAGGTGCTTGGGACTGGAGGGGAGGAGAGGCCCTTGGGTAGAAAATGCCTTTTTTTATCCCTGTACCCTGCACAAACATATGCATACTTCAGGGCTGGGGCGACAGTGGCATGCCCAGGCCTAGCTTTTCTCTGGTCTCCTGTGGGACTGTTGATGGTAGAGTCATGATAAAACACATGCAAATTGCTGGCTGCAGGCTCCTAGGGAAAGTGCTTCTCTTGCAACAGGGCCAAGTTCACTGGGTGTTAGGAACGCAGGGGTCTTGGGCCTCTGTTGGCATCGGGAGCTGGTAGCAGCCACCGCTTTCCTGTCAGGGAACTCAGAGGCCCTGAAGGGATAGAACACGAACACTGACTCCTCCTGGGATCACAGTGCCACCGATTTTCTTGTGGGTGTGAACACTCCAAGGGTGGCAGCTTTTCTGACTGGGTTAAGGATTCAGGCTCAGCTCTGTCTTGTCCCAGGCAAGCCAGAGAAACCTACAGGCATGGGCGCCCCCCTGTGGTCAGCCGCCCTTACTGAGCCTGTCGCACTAAAACCAGGGTTTTGTGCTGGCTACAGGGGTTAGTGAGATGGGGTGCCCCCAGATCTGCCCAGTATTCTTCGTGGACCCAGGACCACCTATGCCATCTTCCTAAGTCAGGGCCAGCGCAGGAGCGACCTGCATCTCACTCCCACATCTCAGATGAGGACACACATACACAGCCCTGGTGTTTGCCTCTGAAGCAGTCAGGCAGAGGGACCAGGTCAGTTGGTCCCTGTACAGGGCTGGGAGGAGCGACCCCTCTGGTCTCCAGGGGCGTCCAACATGCTTTGCCCTGACCAACAAGTGTTATTTTACAATTCTGTTTAACAGGCACATTGCACAGGCCACCTTGGCCCTCTCCTCGCTCCTCTCTGCCGTGCTGGTAATCTGCTGGGTTATAGGAGAACTTGCTTGTGGCACTATTTGTTGTACTGCAGGGAGGGGTCGGTGACCCTTTCCCTCTCTGTCTTCTCTGTTGACCCTCCTCCGAAATGGCTGGGACCAAGGAGGAACGATTACTGCTGGTGTGAAGGCCCCAGACCTACCTCCGTGAGTAAGGATAGGGCCCTGTCTGTGTCCTGTGCACACATGGCTCCCACCCCCAAATGACTTCTCTCCCTCTTCCTGCACCAGTCACACTTGATTTTCTTAAATAATTGAAGGGATTTTTGTATTCCATCATTGGCTATTTAAAAGACTCAGTGTTCAGTGACCTGGGAGTCGAGAAGCCCCCAGGGGAGTGGGACAGTAGAAGTCTGCCTGGTTGCTGTGTATGTGCACATATGCTGCCTGGGGTGTACATACATGGTCCCACTGTGTGCGTGCATGTATGTACGTCTTTCTGGCCGTGTCTGTGGCAGGTCCCTCTTACTGGGGCTGCTCAGGATAAAATAAGCATTCAGCTCTGTGCTCCCCTCTGCAGCCCTGGGAAGAGAGGGACAGTGACGGAGATACAAGCAGCAGTGGGGGAGGGGGGAGGCCAGCTGGCTGCACAGTGAGAGGGGCAGGGTACGAGCCCCCTCCCCCATGCCCCAGGCCCTAACCAGTGTTTCTTAGCAACAGCCCTGCCACTAGGGCTATTTTGGGAACCGTAGCTTCTCATTGAGCGAGATTCTGGGCAGGAGCTCTGAGCACAGCCCGGAACAGGGCGGCTAGGCTGCTGACCTGCAGGCCCAGGTGGAGGCACTCCTGGCTTCTAGGCCCCCTCTGCAGCCTTGCTGGGGCTGGAGAGCTCTGGGCCTTGGATTGCAGGTTCTTCCCATTTTATTTTTGATGTAGGGACGAAGATGGGGGTGTGGCTGTGACTAACGGCAGACATGGGCAGCTGCCATCCACACAGATCAGTGGAGAGGCCCCTGGAGACGAGTGCCACCATCTGCTTACTGCTTCTGGCAGAGCACCCATACTGGTGGTGGCATCAGAGTTGGTAGGCCAGACCTGGACCCTGGCAACCTAAACCTAACAAGCCAGCCTCAGCCACTTGTCTTCAATAGGTTCAGTAAAGAAACAATTTAATAGGTAAAAATCTCAGAAAGATTTATTCAATGTGTCCACATTGGGAAGAAGAGTGAAGGGGTCCAGGAACACCCCTCCCGCCCCAGTCCATCTTCATGGTCCCAACATGAGGCTTAGGTTGAAATAGAGGACAAGAGCAATGCATAGCTAAGCAGTCCTGGTCAAGGTTCGGTCCTGTCACTGACCCACCCTTGTCTGGGCTCCAGCCCCTCCTACAAGGTGGTCTGACAAGCTGTCAGAGCTGTGTGAGATTGCTCCTCGGGAGATAAGCTCCCTCTTTTGCAGACACCAGGCCTCAGCCTTTTCCTCCTCCCTGCATGAAACTCCTGGGGGAGTTCCAGGTCCTTGGGGACCATTGTTAGCCAGAGAGAGGGGGCAGGAGTGTCTCTTTAGAGGGTCTTCATTCCTGTGGGAGGGTTGCAGCAGTGCTGGCCCTAAGACCTTCATGCCCTGTTTCAGAGTGGCTCCAACCAGTGGCTGTCACAGACATGCACGTGAACACAAAAGCATACATGCACACACACAGTGAGAGCACACTTGTGCCCCTCATGTGATATTTGTGCATGTGTGTACGTATGTGCATAGATAAGCACAGGAACATGGCCCCCAGCATTTTTGGACTTGACTTGTCAGTGTCCAGCTCCCCGAGAGCCTAAGGGCAGGCAGGCCACTGAGCACAGTTCCAGGGTGACCCCTCTAGAGTAGTGACATTTTTTATACCACCTGGGGAAAGGTAGGTATGTCACAGGTGTGTCAACTGCAGACAAGCTGGTCACGGGGGACTGAGAAAATAGTTTTGCACTTGGTGACCTCTGACCCTGTGCCCTTGCCTGCACTGGGCCTGTGCCTGGCCCAAAGCTGGGCTGGTAGTGAGGGCCAGGAGTTGGTGTGGTTTAGAACCCATGTGCCTCTGGCCCCCAAGTTAAGAAGCTTCTGACATCTGCAGGGCTTTTGTGAACTGAAAACCCAGGGGAGTGCAGACCGGCAGAGAGTAGCCACCTTGGAATATCTACCACTGGCCCTGTTTCAGGAAGAGCCATCTGCCCTTGCTGGAAACCCCGGTCAGGAGGCGTGTCCCTCAGAGGAGCTGGCCCTGAGCACAGATGTCCAGACCTCTGGCAGGGCTGGCCTCTCTGCTCTTCCCTTGCAGAGACAGAAGTACCTGAAGGGAGGTGGTAAATGGTTCTGTCAGGTTCAGATCCCCGTGGGTTGTGGGAAGTAGACTGTATAGGAGTCCTGGGCCTGGGATGGATTCCGATGAGGAGACATCTGTGCTGTCCTGAGGCTGCTGTGGACACAGGGCTAGTTGGCAGTTCCTCTGCCATCTCCCCTTCACAAACCACATCAACAGCAAGAATACCAGTCACCTGTGGGTGGCTTATCTTATGCTAGAGCATTCTGTCAATAGAATTCTAGCCAGAGTGCCAGGCACCAGTAGTAACAGTGTTTCTACTTTGCAGATAGGGAAACAGGTTTCAGTGGGTAGGATGCATGGTCGGGGTCCAGTCAGAGCACTTTGGGGTGTGAAGTGGACAGTCTTAGAGGACCCAGGACAACAAGTGTGAGGCAGGACTGGCTTGGTAACAGGAGCCCTTGACCCTGAAATTAATCTTTCTTACTGCTGTGATGGGAGGTTGTGCACAGTCGGCCAGGAAACTGTTCTGCTCTGTCCCCATGACTGTCAGATGTGTGAGGGCCACGCTGCTATGCTGTGCCATGATGTCTGTCTCTGTAAATGAGAGGTTCGTGTAGGGAACACGTGGGTGCTCTCCATCAGACTGGGATGGGCAGTTGTGATTGGCCACCCTGGAGCTGGGTAACTGGAGGAGTCATTTTGTTTCCCGCTGAGGGTCCAGACGCTTGCTACCTCAGTTTCCCTGTATTCCAAGAGAAACTAGTAGAAATTGGTAGAGAGAGAATGGATCCATTTAGGGGCTGGGAGATAGCTTAGTTAGTAAACCTGAGGTTCTCAGTTCAGCCACCAGAACCCATGTAATAAAAACCAGGCATGGTGGCACCTGCTTGTAAAATCCCAGCCCTGGGGAGGCCAAGACTGGAGGATCCCTGGGGCTCACTGGCCAGACAGCTTAGCCTGTTTGAGTTCCAGGCCAGTCAGAGACCCTGTCTTAAAAGGGGGGAGCAGGACCCAAGGAATGACACTTGAGGCTGACATCTGGCCTCTCTAAGCATATGTAACCCCCTCCCCCATGCTTGGGAGTGCTCCTAAGAAAGTGGATTTGTTTATAGTTTGGCCAAAACTGGAGAGAGAGAAGTTCTTTGATTCTCTCTGCCTTTCCTGCAGTGGTGTTTTAACGTCGTGGAAACGATGAAGCAAAGACAGGAAGGTGTGGGTGCTGACTTACCTGTGAGGTAAACCACAGGATGGGTGACCTCTGGTGTCTGGGCCTCAGCCTTTCCCTCCTCAGTCTAGATTCTTGGGGAAAGTTTAGTCTTTCGGGCTTCATTGTTTTGGGGTACCTGTGCCCAGAGGCTAAGCCCTTCTGAAGATAAACGAAGGGACATAAATGAAGGGACAGATGCTCTGAGTCCTCAGCAGCTGAGCCCCAAGCAAGGAGATGGGTCCTGTCCTTCCGTAAACCCTCTTGAGAGGCTTGGTGTCCTTGTCCTGGGAAGGGTGCCATGTGAATTCCCACTCTGTGACCCTCCATCCTTGACCTTGACCCTCGCTGGCCTTGAGATACCACCAAGGTCATCTCTGTGGCCTCTTCAGCATGTCTGTCACTTGGGGGACTGGGCAGTGTTCTAGTTTGCTTTCTGTTGCTTCGATAAACACCATGTGGTGGTTTGAATGAGAATGTCCCCAGTTGGTGTTCCTGTTTAGGGAGGTCTTGGAAAGTGTGGCCATGCTGGAGGAAGCATGTCACTGGGGGCAGGGCTTAGAGAATTCTTAAGCCTTGCCAGATCTCCAGTTGCTGTCTTGCTTCCTGTACCCAGTTGAAGATGTGAGAGCTTAGCTTCTGCTCCTGCTCCTCCACCCACCTCTGCCCCTTTGGAACCGTAAGCTAAATAAACTCCTAAGTTCCCTTGGTCATGGTGTTTCTATCATAGAAACAGAAAGTGACTAATACTCACCATGACCCAAAGCAGCTCAGGAGAGGAAAGGATTTACTTGGCTTAAACTTGTAGGTCACAGTTCATCACTGAGGGAAGTCAGGGCAGGAGCTCCAGCAGGAACTTGAAGCAGAAACCATGGAGGAACGCTGCCTGCTGGTGTCTCAGGCTCATGATCAGCTAGCTTTCTTATGTAGACCGGGACTACGTTCCCAGGGAATCAGACAGAGAATCGAGCCCTCCTACATCAGTTAGTGATCAAGACAGTTTTCCATAGACATGCCCAAAGGCCAATCTGATCTGAGAATCCTTCCATTAGAACTCCCTTTTCTGATGGCTCTAGACTGTGTCAAGCTGACAGTTAAAGGTAACTAGGATTGTGCTGCCAGATCAGAGTAGGTGACTGACAGGTGTTGGCTTCCTGGTGACTAACAGTGGTGGACACAGAGAAGAATTGCTGTCTGCAGTCATAGTAATGTCTCAGGAATGGCCGCAGTCGGCATCTGGTGCCAGGAGTCAGATGGTCCTGGCTCAGCCACTCAGGCCTGTTGGGGCAAAGGACCAAGGTTTGGGAGGTAAGTGGGAGTATACAGGCCTGTCAAGCTACTTTCTTCGAGTCCGTTGGGTTTGGGGGTCAAATAAGCTCTAAGGTAGATGCAGGACCAGAGTTGGGGAACAGAAAAAGGGGGGCTTGGGGGAGCTCCAGCCATTTCCCAGGTTGGAGTAAAAGGGTGCCTTGGGAGATGGGGACCGGGGTGTGTAGGATGCCAGGCTCATCTGGGAGCATGGTTGGAGAGGGACTCCCGAGGTGTCAGGTGCCGTCTGTGGCAGCGCTTACAGCAAGGTCTCTGAGAAAGGAGGGATGGACAAGGAGACACAGCCTGCCTGACGGCCGGATTTCCTTGCAGATTCTGAAAGCAAAGCGTGCAGTCCCAATGGAGGCCCCCGACCCACGCAAAGCGAGACTTCCACTGCCCAGCAGGAGACGCTGACCTCGGAGGGTGTGCAGCCCGGAAGCCCCTTGGCCAGCGGGTCTGACCAGGCCTCCCTGGATGAGCTGCTGTCCTCAGAGGCCCATCTGGATGATGCAGGTACTGACTTTTGGACTGAGGGCTCCCAGCATGGCCATCAGCCTGGGTAGTGACCAGCATCCCAACCAAGGGCTCAGATAGCAGCCTCACTCTCCGCAAGGCTGTGCCCCACACCTACCCCCAACACCCTTCAGGTGTCTGTTCTCTGGGACGTCCTTTGCTGAACCAGAGCCACTCCGTTGTCTTTGCCAACTGTGTGCCCACACCTTCCCTGCAGTGTTTAGCTGCCCATGGTGTATTCTCTGCCCTCTTGGGTGACTCTGCCTCTCCAGTCTTACTTGGCTTGGGGACATAATGGGAATTTGACATCTGAGATGTTACACTGCGAGTCCTAGGCAGCTGACCTCAGGTGGTGTTTGGCATGGTTCTGATGCTGTGAGTGGAGCCTCCTTCTGTGCTCCCTGATGCTGTGAGTGGAGCCTCCTTCTGTGCTCCCTGATGCTGTGAGTGGAGCCTCCTTCTGTGCTCCCTGATGCTGTGAGTGGAGCCTCCTTCTGTGCTCCCTGATGCTGTGAGTGGAGCCTCCTTCTGTGCTCCCTGATGCTGTGAGTGGAGCCTCCTTCTGTGCTCCCTGATGCTGTGAGTGGAGCCTCCTTCTGTGCTCCCTGATGCTGTGAGTGGAGCCTCCTTCTGTGCTCCCTGATGCTGTGAGTGGAGCCTCCTTCTGTGCTCCCTGATGCTGTGAGTGGAGCCTCCTTCTGTGCTCCCTGATGCTGTGAGTGGAGCCTCCTTCTGTGCTCCCTGATGCTGTGAGTGGAGCCTCCTTCTGTGCTCCCTGATGCCCGGCCCTGGCACTTGATCTCAAGAACTCCTGCAAGACTGGGTTGCTGCTCTTGGCTCTTACTGGCGTGTCTCAGATTTTGGTGGTTCCTTGTGCCCAGTTGACTCTGAGAAAGAAGATGATTCAGGGGATGCCCACATCTTACCTAAGGGGCTTCCCAGCTGCTTGGCCACTTGGGGTTGGCCTCCTGGGAGCAGAGTGGCTGTGTTTAAGCCACCGCTTTTTGTGCAGTACCTTCTAAACTGGACTTGCTGTCAGAGTTGAGGCATGAGCTGGAGGGATCACAGCTGAGCGAGGGGAAGGGTGTCCCTGGAGCGGGCCAGCACACATGGAGACAGAACAGGATTCACAGACCTGTTCTGAAGAGCCAGAGTAGATGTTATCAGCTCGGGAGTCAGGGGCATCTGATAGAGACACACAGCTCCCCCAGAGCAAGCACAGGTAGTGTATGAATGAGAAGTTTAACATGTGGAACTGGAGAGATGACTCAGCAGTTCAGAACACTAGCTGCTCTTGAAGATGACCTAAGTTTAGCTGCCAGCATCCACATGGCCGCTGACAACAGACGCTAACTCCACTTACACCCTCTTCTGGCTTCCACGGGCATTGCACACATGGATGCATTTACATACATGCATGTAAAACACTCATACACAAAATAAGAATAAGTAAAAAACAAAAAGAAAAAGTCAATGCATGCTAGAGACACTATTCTCTGGAACATCCTGTAGGCTGGACTAGCCTTTGCTAAGGAGCAGGAGAGACCCGGGAGCTGAAAGTGGTCAGGTATGGCTGGTGCTGGGCCAGACTGGAGATAGGAGGCTGGCAGCTGGCATGATCCCCAGGGCCCGGGCAGCCTAACCCAAGGGAGGGAAGGCCCAGGATCCAGTGACAAGGGATGGAGCTGCAGAAGTGCTCCTGGTTGCCGGGGAGATGACTACCTGGTGTGTGGGTCTGAGGGACGGTGGTTTCTCCCCTCCTGAGCTGAGCACCTGTGGTTTGCCATAGGATTCCTGAGCTCCTGGGGTTGCTAGATGACTTCAATGTGGTGACATGGACAGACAAACATTCTCAGTGTTTACTTTCATTGATCAACGCCAGAGCTTTGGCCTGCTCCTCTAGTCTCTCTTTTCCTTCCTCTCATGTCTGTACTATGTGGTATGCAGGTGTATGTGTGTGTGCATGTTGAGGTCCCAAGTCGATAAGTCCTCCATCCCTCTTCCGTGGTACTCTCTGAGGCAGGGTCTCTCAATCAAACCCAGAGAGTGCTGATATGGCTGATCTCTGCTGCTGGCTTGCCCTGAGGCTCTGGTCTAGCCTTCCAGGGCTGGAATTACAGCAAGCTGCCACACCCACCAGGCCTTTACAAGGGTTCTGAGGATCCAAACTCTGATCCTCCTGCTTGAGCAGCAAGCACTTTCAATAACTGCTGAGCCATCTCCCCAGCCCTGAGGGGTTTTCTTGCTAATAAATGAGTTCACTGAAAATGAAATGTAGCCAATAAAAACACAGAACAGAAAGAGGGGTCATGGTCTTTAAAGTGAGGCCCAGGTATGTGGTTTCTGCTTTTGAGAGAGAATCCGTTAGGGATATGGCCGTTTTATTCACAGCTAGTGAGTATATATTATGTATAATATTAAGCTACACTTACATGGTCAACATGGCTTTCCAGGGTAAGAAGAGTATTACAGACACTGACTTAAGTGCCACAGGCACTATCTAAGTGCTGTCAATGCTGTTCTAAGTACTATAGGTGCTGTTCTAAGTTTTGTTCTGCATTTCCTTATCTGGAAACAGCCCCAGGAGACTTGCCTTTCTCATAGTGAAGAGGAGAAACTTCTAAAGATACACAGGAACATTGAGAGTAACGCCTGTGACATCAGGCTGACCTGGGTCTGAAGGTGACTGGACTCCTTGCTAAGCTATATGACTTTGGACATGTTACCTGACCTCTCTGAGCCTGTTGTAACTATAAAATGAGATGTAGTCACAAAGTTACAGTTGAGTTAAATGTTCCCTGTGGGTGGGATTCTTGTCCTAAGGCCTAGGAAGCACCCAGAGTTCGCTGCTGGTGGCAGAAGGCAGCCGCCACCATCATTCCAGTCCTTGAGGTCAAGAGCCATCCTCGGAGGGTGACACAGTATCACAGTCCCTGCCTTCAGATACTGCCTAGGGTCCTGCTTTGAGTAGCACCTTGAGTCTAGGGGCCAGAGCCACCTGCATTTTGCCATTAAGCTGGGACATCCCCTGACTCTTCTCACCCTGCAGGCCCTGGGTCCTGTACCAGGTACTTGTTCCCCACCCACAGTGGCTCCAGGTCTGCATTAGAGACCTGGCCCTGAACAAGGTCCCTCCAGCCAGGGAGCTGACTGCCATTTAACGCTGGGGACTAAACTCATCATTTAAGATATTTATAAGCCAATATTGTAAAATGTTTATAGGATATTTAGAAAACATTCACCAAAACCAAGCTGTGCCATTTCTTTTCAACTATCAAGTTACACCCCCCACCACCACCACCCTGGACCTGTGGCCACTGAACCCCAGTTGCTGAGTCAAGTAGGGGCCATGACTACAGATAGAGCTAGTCTGTGGGGCTTGCTTGCTGGTTGGGGTATTGAACTTTGCTGTGTGAAGCCTGTGTTCTCTCTACCTTTTGATGTCCCTATAGGCCTCTTCATTATGGAATGAGGCAGCTATTGTGGGAGTGGGGGGTGACTGAGCCCAATGTGGAGACTTGGCATCTCTCCTGCAGAGCTAGGGAAGGTCAGCTATTGACAGTAAGCTGTCATCTCTTCTTACTGTCCTGAATCCTGATCAGTGCCCTAGGGAATGGCTACATCTGAGCCACATACCTTTGCGTTGAACTAATTTCATAACAGACAGGTCACCTAACAGCAGAGAAATCCAGACTTTTTGGATCGGCAAACAGCCGATGCCAGCACTAGATCTCTCAGCTCCTCTCCTTGACCTTGGGCAAACATACGGAAGCTTAGTGATGTCCTCGTGGGGCACCAGGACCCTCAGGTACCACTCTGATGCTCAGGACTGTCCTCAAAGCTCAGCTGCCTTCGGGAAGGGCCAAGGTCAGGTGCTTTCTGTTAAAAATCAGATCTTTCTGAACTTGGCTAAGGTCAGAGAGAGGTCATCGGAAAGCAGGCATTGCTGTCGCAGGTCACCCCTGGGTTCCAGAGGCTCCTTCCTTGGCCAGGTGGCCATATCCTGGATGGGGCTTCTGGGACAACTCTCACCCCACCTTGCTGGTATCCCACACCATGAGCTTACTACATTCCACAGTGGACCCAGGTCTCCATCAGAGGCCCGCTGCTCATTACTGTTCTCATGACTGTCTTTGTTGACCCCATGGTTAAGAGAAGCTTACCAGGATTGGGGAGATGGCCTGGCCACTAAAGCGCTTGCTGTGCAAGCATGAGCTGTACCCAGTACCCAGTAAAAGGCTGTGTGGGGGCTGGAGAGATGGCTCACTGGTTAAGGGCATTTGCTGCTCTTGGAGAGGATCTGGGTTCAGTCCCCAACACCCAGATGGTGGCTTCCTACTGTCTGTAACTGTTTTAAGTAATCCAACTCCCTCTTCTGGCCTCCTCAGGCTCTGCACACTTGTGATGTACATGCATGCATGCATACAGGCAAACACTTGTACACACAAAATAAATCTTTTTTTAAAAAGTCTGGAGATAATGGTGCATGCTTCTAAACTCAGTACTGAGGTAGATCTTCAGCACCTGCTGACCAGCCAGCCTAGGCTAGTTAGTGAGCCCCAGATCCCAGTGAGGCACTGCCTCCAAAAACTGAGTAGCTCCTGAGAAATGGGGCCCACCTCGCCCCCGACCCCCTCCACCTGGTCTACTTCCTGGTGTATTCACATGTGTGCGTGTATTTATGTATATGTGGGGAGGGAGCAAAATCTGTCTGAATATGGCATCACTCAGGGTGGGGCACTGTCAGAGCAGCTGGCTGTGACATTCCTTTGGTTTGGGAACCAGCGTTGACCCTGTTCTTGTGTTTGGGTGTGGTTGTGTTTCCTGGTTCCACTCTCTCAAGTGTCTAGAGGAAACCGTGTGGTTCAGGCTCCTGCTCAGCATGGCAGCTGTTGCTGGGGTCTGGGCTCTGGCGTTCCCATGAGTGTGCTGGTTAGAAGGAGCAGAGCAGTATCTAGTGAGCCCACCCTACATGTTCAGTGTTATGTATTCTAACAGCCTCGTGTTTTCAAAAGAGGAAGCAGACTCAGAGAGATTAAGTCTCTATTTTAGTGACTTTTCTCATAGCTGTGGCCAAATACCTGACAAGCAGCAACTTGAGGGAGGGGAGAGTCCAGGTTTGAGAGGATTCACCATCACATGAGAAAAGCATGGTCAGGCAGCTCCCTGGCCGCAGGAGTGTGTGGCAGCTGGAATGTGCGGTGACTGCTTGCTCACATCTTGACAGATCAGGAAGCAACATTGACAGGAAGAGCTAAGCTATCATACTTCAAGGCTGTCCTTCAGAGGGCCCTTCTTCTAGCTAGCCTCACGTCTGAAAGGTTCCACAGCCTGTCAAAACAGCAGGACCAGCTGGGAAGTAAATGTTCAAGTGCATGAGCCCATGGGGATGTTTGTGGTTTCCCAAGCTCACCAAGTATCTCCATGGCAGACCTGGAGTTTAGTCCTACGTACAGCGTTCTAGAGCCCAAACTAGAGCCAAGTGGGAGATAAGCCTTTCTTCTGTTCCTGGGATGTTCTGGAATTTAGGTTATTTTTGAGGTCAGGCACTCTTCTCAAACTGCAGGCTCTGTGTTAGATCCTGTCTGCTGCTTGTGTGGCCATCAAGTGCTCTACAGGGAGCTGGTACTATGATGTGGAAATCAAGCCAAAGGGCACCAGTTTGTGCCCAGCACCTGCCTCCCATCCCCCTTCTGGTTGGAAGGGTGGCACTAGGACCCGGGAGCCTCCCCAGAGAACCTGGGTCACTAGTCATGTGACTATTTAAATCACTCAGAATGAAACATAGAGTTTTAGCTCCCTAGTCACATTAACTGCTTATCAATTCAGTAACTGCTTGTTGGTTACTACGTGGATGGGAGGAGGCTGGTCTGTTGGCCAGCCAGCACTGAGAGTGAAACGTGGCCACATGTCCACATTGGTACCAGGAGAGATTTTGCTGTTTGGGTTGACCAGACCTTCCAGACTTTTCTGTCCCAAAGATTCTATGATTGTGGCAAAGACCGCATATACTCGGGGTGGAAAGCCGTTACGGCCAGGGGTTCGATCCAGCAACCCCCGTGCAGTGATGATTGGGGATGAGTAAGCACACAGTTCGCCAGCCCATGCTGCCCCCAGTACCGGGGACACGCAGATGCTACGGGGAATCTAGTCAAGCAGGGACTCATTTATTGCAGGTGTTACAGAGGTTATAAAGGCACCTGGAACTCCCCCCACCCAGGGTGTATCTTAAGGATGGTCACACACTGATCATGCACTCCTCAGCAGTGCGGAAGTATTCTTCAGACTTTCAAAGCAAGCAAGCCAGGCCACACCCCAGTAACTTCCTTTCAGACCTAGGCAAGGTGGGGCCTTTAGGTCCCCACACGTTACCATATGGCCTTCTACAGAAAATGTTCCTCGACCTCTGATTCTTTTGGGTTGGTGACAAGCAAGGATGGGGCTTGGAGTCAGGAAGGAGGCCTGGTAGAGTCCAGGTGCTCCAGATCCTGGGAGGACTTCTGGTAGCTCTGAGTGGCTGAGATCCCAGGAGGGCTTCTGACAGCTCTAAGTGGCTACATTTCTGAGAAGAGTGAAGGCCAAGCTGACGGGAGCTGTCAGTAGATTGCATGGAAGGGCAAGATGGGATGGTGCGGGCTGGTGGGTAGTGGGCCAGGTAGGACTCAGCACGAGGGAGCGTCATTAATGAGAACTAAGAGATTCATTAGAGTCCTCTTCTTTACCCCTGTTCTATGGTACATGAACCTTAGGTGTAGACGTTGCATTATAGATGTGCCACTTAGGCCTGGGCAATTCATAGTCAATGTCCGTGTGTGACGAGTTGTGGTACTTGGTAATAGTCTCCAACTGGTGCACAATGAGCTGCTTTGATGACTGGTGACTGGGATATTTGTCTGAAAACATAAGGATACATATTTTGCTTGGGCCGTTGATATACACCTCAAGGGTTTCACAGGATGCTCTGAAGGCAGGGAGGGGCCTGCCGTGGCCATTCTGCATTTTCAGAACCACGCTCAGTATAGGTGCGTAGGCCATAGGAACATTCAAAGATAAATGAATCCCTGTCTCCTGGGACCTGAGGGTCCGTCCTGCCACCTGGGGGAGGAGTTAGTGTATTCATACACAGCCGTGTACCCAGTAGTGCCTTCCACCAGACTGGGCACCTAGGGTGTCCACTGAGAGGCCCAGGAGGGACAGGGTGTCCATTCCTGATGGAGGGAAATGACTTCTCTTGAAGAGGGAGGGGCAGCAGGTTTGTGTTAGAGTGAGGGATCTGGGGAGCCTCCATCTGATGGCCCAGTTTCCTCTGTAAAGTTTCAGGTGAAGGCATGTGACAGGAGAGAGAAGTCAGGCCTGCAGCGGGAGGTAGCAAAGGGTCAGTGTTGAAATGCTCACCTGCGTGGGGAGGCCCTGGCTGGGCCCTAGGAGACAGTCTAGAGCAAGTCTCTACATGTGTCCCTCATGCCACCATCCTCTGCATCACTTGACAAAAGCATGTGGTTAGTGACTTCCTCCAGGGAAGGGACTTCCCTAGGGTGGGGTGAGGAGAAAGCCAGGCAGAAGATGTAGGGCCTTTGGTATGCTGTGAGGACCGGATGCTGGTGAGAGGGAGAGGCTGGTGGGCCAGGAAAGAACAGGGTGGGCAGCAGGACCTCACATAGCACTAGGGGCCTGGATGAGCATGTGGAAAGAGGACAAAACTCTGAATGAGTGGCCTGTCCTGGAAGTCCCACCCTGTGCCCCCCACCCCTAACCACCTTGGCTTCCAAGCCAGGGGTAGGGCTGCTGCAAGACAGACCGAATACCCATAACTGCTGGTATCAGGGTCTTGATGCACTAGATATGTATGTCACTGTGTTAGAAATAAAATCCAAGGCCCAAGGACCCCATCAATACCTCACAAAGAACACTCAGACAAAGGGAGAGTAACTAGCCAAGGCAGATTTACTTTTGCAGAAGGGTGCCTTTGTGGTCAGATCCAGCAAGCACACAGTACTGGAAACCTGGTGGGCTTTTATCCCTAACACAAGAGATCAAGAGGACTGTGTCTTCTCCCCATTGGTTGGGGTCCGACCTCACAGTCTTTCCCAGTTGGCTAGTTTAAAAGAATCTGTGGAAAAGAAGAAGAGCTCCTGTTCCAGGCCATCAGGCTCAGAAATACACCGGGGCCTTTCCTTAAACAAAAGCCTCATAGGGTATGGTGAGATTAAAAGCCTGGAATTCCTTGTCATAAACCAAGTTCCAAGTTTTACCAGGTTTGAAAGAAAAGACTAGTATTTAATGTTTCTTACACATTGTCACTGTAACTTGGTGCTGCCTCCTGCTCCTCTTGTTTAATGAGATACAGTTTCTCTTTGTGGCCTAGTCTGGCTTCCAACTTGGGGTATGACTATAGGGTATGCAGTGGCACACTTGGCTTCGCTGTCCCCTCCTTAAACCTTGACTTAACCCTACCAGGAGCTGTTGTCATTAGGAGTCACCGTTTGTTAGTGGAGGCACAGAGAGGTTTAGTGACTAAGCCTAGCCAGAAAGTGGGTGCAGAGGCTACTTGAGTCTGGCTTCCATGACTCTAAAATCTGTCAAGGGGGCTGTGCTTCATATATGAGGGCCTAGGCAGCTGTGTGGGTGAGGGACGAGGTCACCTGTGCTTAGGTAACTTCCGGACTTCCTCCCTCCTGTACAGTGATCTCCTCTTGTTCACTGAATGCACAGTCAAGTCCTCGCATGAAGAGACCTCCATGTGTCTGCCCCCCATTTCCAGACCCCTCGTCTTCTTGCTTGCCTTGGTCCCTCCGACCACTGTGGAAACCTCTTCTGAAAACTCCGTTTTGCCTTTGCACCAGCTAAGATGCCGTCTGCAGCCAGCGGGGAAGAAGCCAATGCCGGCAGCCTCCTGCCCACCACGGACGAGCTCTCTCAAGCCTTAGCTGGGTCTGACCCCCTGGACAGTCCTCCCAGACCCCTGGAGAGATCCACGAGCCCCCCACTGCTGCCCACCCCACCACCCAAGACCAGCTGCAAAGCCACAAAAAATATCACAGGTGGGTCTGCATGTACCCTGCTGTGTCCATCCTTCCTCCCCTCTGCCCTTCCATCCCTCCTTCCTCCCTCCCTCCCTTCTTTCTGTTGGTCTGTCCATCTGTCCATCCATCACCCATCCATACCTTCTGCCCAGCTGAAGCATACCTTGGCTCCAGCTCTAGGTCAACTCTCTCCTTTGTCTCTGACCAGGCTCTGCAGGCTGGGGGAGGAGTTCCCACAAGGGCATGGCTGTTGGATATAGCCTGCCTGGGCTCCCTCAGGCAGATGTCATCCAGACCATAATGTGTTTGTCCTATTTCTGCTGGTCCCTTAATGTTTCTTGCCCTTGCCCTTGCCCAAGGCTTTGTGTACACAACAGGGCAGAGTCAGGAGCGAACACGTGACCTTGGGGTAGCGGTCCAAGAACATCACCTGCCCCTCATCCTCATCTGCAACTCTGACATCACAGGCTGATGGCTTGCAGAAAGTCAGCATTTTCTCATTGGACAGGCACCTCTGCTGTTCCGAAGGGGAGTCAGGCCATTCGCTATGTGGCGGCTCTTTTCAAGAGCACATCCCAGGGGCTGGAGAGATGGCTCAGTGGCGAAGAGAGTACATGCTTTTGCAAGAGACCTGGGTTCAGTTCCTAGCTCCTACGTGGAGGATCACAAGCATCTGTAACTCCAGTTCCAGGTTATCCAGCGCCCTCTTCTGGCCTCTGCAGGCATGGCATATACATGGTGCACTTACATATATGAACATAAAATAATTTTTTAAAGCTTTGAAAATAGAACAAGTCCCTGCATGCTGCTGTTAGGAAATTGAGACTCAGGAAATTATAGTGACTTGCTGCAGATCAGTCAGCGGTGGATACAGACTCAAACTCAGTTCTGGGCCAGAGGCACATGGCCCTGTGAAGACGCCACCCGCTGCTGTGGGCCGGCAGCCGTGTGCTGTTCCTCACAACTTGCCTCCCCCCGGTTTTCACAGAGGACTACCTGGCACTCTGGGGTGTCAGCTGCTGGCATCAGGAGGGGCTTGGTCTCAGGGGGGTTATAATAGCCCGTCACAGTCTTCAGGGGAGCTCACCCTCTCCTCACCTTGCATTTGGATGTCTGGCCTCCAGACAGGAGTGAGCTGCCCTGCTGTTTTAAGCCACCCAGTTTGTGGTCATTTGTCCAGGAAGCTCCAGGACCCAAATATGCTCCATGTTTGCATTCACAGTCGTTGTGCCTGGTATACAGCAGGTGCCAAGCAGGTTCAGGCGACTGTGATAGATTGATGGAATGAATGAGTGCTCAGAACTCTGCTTTCTACATCACTGGAAATGAGTCGAAAATCCATTCTGTAGCCAGTGTGAACGCAGAAATTACAGAAAAAGCTGAGACAAAGCAGTTTTATTTTGTTTCCATGTTAATGATAATTCACATTTCCACATGTTAAATGACTTCAAAGTCATTTTATTGAACAGCGAGTATCTCATTCTCCCCCAGCAAAGGTGTGAACTGTCCTGACCTCCAGGGACTTTGCATCCTGGGCCCCTGGGCACTTTCTGCCCCTGCTGTTCTGGAGAGGCTGGAGAGGCCCCCACCTCAGAGTGTGCACGTATATACCACTGAGGCACTCAGTTGTCCACAGAACCCGTCTGGGTCTCTGGGGCCCATCCCTAGCCTGTCAGTACCTCTCACTTCACCCTTATCTCAGTGGGTGGAACTCAAGGACTTCGGGGGTTCGTGTTCTGACATGTTTCTGATTGGCAGGGGACCGAACAGGGAGGTGGTCTTCCGCCTGCATCCTGTGTGGCTGAGCCCACATCTTGGCTCAGACTTGACTTTTCGGTCTTTTTCCTGTCTTTCTGGGGATGTGATGCTAACACGTGAACACTAGGTGGCATCAGGGAAGCAGAAAGCCCCGACTCCAGCCTGACTCCAAGGCGCAGGGTGTGCCAGCCTTTCCACCAGGGCCTCATCTTTGCCAGGGACAGGGGCCCAGTGTCTGAATCTGTTAGAGCTACGACGACAGATGAACTTGTCAGAAACAAATTCACTGCTCACAGTTGTAGAGGCGGAAAGTCCTGGACTGAGTCACTGCCAGCAGATTCAGTGTCTGGTAGGGGCCTGCTTCTAGATTTGTGGGCCAGATTTCTGGTCCTGTGTTTGTGTTTGTTCATGTGACTGGGTACATGTGGAGGTGGAGGAAGTGTCGATGTCCTTCCTCAGGTACCGTGAGCCTTTTTCTTTTTTTTGGAGGCAGAGTTTCCCATTACTGGAACTTGCCGTTTTGGCTAGACTGACAGCCAAGAAGCCCCTGGGACTCTCCTGCCTCCATCTCCCCAGTGCTGGGATTACAAGCACTTACCATCATTCCTGGCTTTTTAAAAAATGCGTTCTTGGGAACTGAGCTCAGGTCCTTGTGCAAACACTTTACCAGCTGGACCATCTCCCAGCCACTCTTGTCCTGTTGAAAAGTGTTCATAGTGAATCCCCCCTGACTCATGGGAGCCCTGTTAAGAGTCAAGGTGGCACTCGTTTCTCTGTTACTGGTTTCACTGTCCCCCTCCTTTTCCTATGACTCCAGACACCCGTGGCTTATCATTTGTCTGGCCTCCAGAGGCAGATAAGCTCGAAGCCTTCCCTGGCCTGCTTCTGTTAAGATAGTCTTCTCTTGACTCATCAGTTAAGAGCACTGGATGTTCTTGCAGAGGACCTGGGTTTGGTTCCCAGCATCCACACAGCAACTAACAACTGTTCATAACTCCAGTTCCAAGGGGTCCAATGCCCTCTTCTGACCTCCTCAGGTATTGCACAACACAGGTTCACTTACACACATGCATGCAAGCAATATACTCATACACGTAAAATATAAATAATAAATAACATTTTATTTTAAAAAGATAGTATGTTCTGCTGTGGGGCCCCACAGCCTCTGCCAAGTGCAATTAGAGCCAGGTGCTTCCTGCCAACACACCCCTCCGCCTGCTTTGTGCCTCAGTTTCCTTCTGTGAGAAAAGGGGCAGTAAGAGGTACACTTTAGTCTGCCGGCTGGACAGCACGCTCTGCAGAGCAGCTGAGGGGAGGTGGTTCGGAGCACCCACTGTGGATCCTTGGTCTTTTTTATGTTGTGATACTGGGGTGAGATATGTGTGATAGACTGTGGTATGGAGATCCTTGGTGTGATTCCAGCTAGATGGGGCAGGAGGATGCTGAGTCCCTCGTGGGTGCCCGGGGCATGGTTGCCGTAACGAGCAGCTGAAGCCTCACCCTCTCTGCCCACATCTGGCTCTGTTCATCTTGTGAGGGACAGCTAAATGCTCTCTGCAGAGAAGCTTCAGCCTGTTCCCCGTGCCGCCCGCACTGTTCCTGCCTCTCTGCCCACATCTGGCTCTGTTCATCTTGTGAGGGACAGCTAAATGCTCTCTGCAGAGAAGCTTCAGCCTGTTCCCCGTGCCGCCCGCACTGTTCCTGCCTCTCTGCCCACATCTGGCTCTGTTCATCTTGTGAGGGACAGCTAAATGCTCTCTGCAGAGAAGCTTCAGCCTGTTCCCCGTGCCGCCCGCACTGTTCCTGCCTCTCTGCCCACATCTGGCTCTGTTCATCTTGTGAGGGACAGCTAAATGCTCTCTGCAGAGAAGCTTCAGCCTGTTCCCTGTGCCGTCCGCACTGTTCCTGCCTCTCTGCAAGCTCTTCGCTTCCCTCCCCTCTGGCTGCTTCCCAAGGGCAGGACCTGAGCTGTTTGCTGACGCCCTGGCTTTGCTCTGGCAATAAACGAACTCCTCGGTGGCTTAGTTTCCCTTCTGTTTCTCAGATGTACTTTTTATTAACACTGTTCATTACCCAGTTTCTTTCTGCATGCCTTTTACCTCCTGTTAGGGTTTCTTTGTGTGTGTGTGTGTGTGTGTGTGTGTGTGTGTGTGTGTCTGTGTGTGTGTGTGTGTGTCTGTTTATCTGTCTGTCTCTGTGTGTGTCTGTGTGTGTGTAATAATTATTGAATTTTTGTGCATTTCATACATCTTAATCATATTTAGGGACCCCCGCCCGTTTTTTAAAGGAGCTGAGTTTTTTGTACCAGGCCTAGTCCAGACATATTTGAGAATAAATGTGTGTAGCATAACTAACAGGTGCTGGGCCCAGCCTGTCACTAAACCCCTGCAGGTTCACCATGTTACAGAGCTGGTGTCCTCTCCTGCAGAAAGGGATGCTGATGTCTGACAGCTTAGGTTCCCTGCATCCTCAGAACAACATGGCTACAAAGCTCCATCATTAGGAAAGCCAGCCGAGCAGGATGACTCCCCTGGGAAGAGTAGGCCAGTCCACCTGGACTGCTCTGGGAGCTCCAGATGGGTGGGACTCAGAAGGCCTCACCAAGAAAGGGGCAGCATGCTTCCCTCGAGAACCAGAAAGATCTTCATGAGATACAGTGAGGAGAATGTGGTAGGGCCAAGAAAGAATGAAGCCAGGTGTTAGAGCAGGGTAGCCCAAGGGGCTTTGGGCCTGGGGCTATGAGTCTGAATCACATCCTAAGGAAGATGGGAAAGGTGTGATGGGATTCACCCTCCAGAAAGGCCCCATGGGCTGAGGTGCTGGCAAATGGGAATGGATGGTATCAGGAGCGGAGGCTGATGGAAGGGTGGCTGCAGGGTTCTGGAAATGTTCATGGTCCCCATGCAGCAATGGGTGGCTTCGAGAAGCTGACCCCTCAAAGGGAAAAAGCACTGTCTGGGCTCCAGACCTTGCAAGAGGACATGGACTTTGACATCACAGAGCTCTTCCCAGGCAGGCAGCACTGTGGCTAGAGCCGCATCCTGGTCTCCACTCCAGGAGAGGTGTCTGTGTGTGTCCCTTCCTTCCATCTTTCAGCAAGGCCTCAGTCCCCACATGTTACTGTGTGAGAGTCATGTTCTTGTGTGTTCCTCCCACACCCCAGGTCAGGCTGTGCTCTTCCAAGGCCCCAGCATGAAGAGTGCCGACCCAGCCCTCCGAGGACAGCTTGCCACCCCCACGGGGTCTCCCCATCTCACCACTGTCCACAGGCCACTGCCTCCCAGCCGCGTGATCGAGGAGCTACACAGGGCGCTGGCCACGAAGCATCGTCAAGATAGGTGAGCCCCGGACCCTGCACACATGCCACCCAGGCTGACCTCTGTGAGCATCTTTAACCTGGGTGGTCACCCAGGGCCTGGGCTGGGTTAAATGTTCCGCATGCATTATCTTGATTTTCCTAGTAGGACAAGCTGTGCACATGGGAACCGTGAAACTTCCTGAGTCATTCCTCAGGTGTGGAGCTGGGGCTTCCCAGGAGGGAGGGCCAGGAGAAAAGACTCCTCTTAGTGGGACTCTGAAGGCTTTGAAGGTTTAATAGGAAGAATGAAGGGAGGAGCCAGGCGAGGTGGCGCAGCCCTTAATCCCCTGCACTTGGGAGGCAGAGGCGGGAGGATCTCTGAGTTTGAGGCCAGCCTGGTCTCAATATTGAGTTCTAGGTCAGCTGTGGCTACAGGGAGACCCTATGTCAAAAAGACATAAATAAATAAATAAATAAATAAATAATAAATAAATAAAAGAATACACTGGGGCCTGTGCCCACAGCTCCCTTGAGGTTGATTGCTACTGGTCCACAGGTATGAGGAGAAGGGCCTTGTGGAGGAGACAGAGCTCAGAGGACGCGTGCATGGTGTGGAGTACTGGAGAAACAGAGTGCCTCTTTGGGGTCTCTGAAGTCCTTGATCCAAGTTACACCGCACTTGCATGTGTCAGGGTTTAGCATGCGTGTGTTCTATGCTTCTGAGAAGGGCACACTGCAAAGCCACATGCTCTAGACTCTAAGGGACTTTCCAAAACTCCCCACCCGAATGTCCAGGACTGAGCCATTCAAGGCACCTACACCACAGTCTTTACCAGCCGTACCTTGATTTGCCTTGTCTTCCATCAAAGGGGGCGATGCATATATAACCAGAGCCATCTTTCCAATTTAGTTTCCAAGGACGGGAATGCAGGGGGTCTCCAAAGAAGCGGATGGATGTGCGTCTGTCAAGGACATCTAGCATGGAGCGAGGCAAAGAGAGGGAAGAGGCGTGGAGCTTTGATGGGGCTCTGGAGAATAAGCGAACTGCCACTAAAGACTCGGAGGAGAACAAGGAGAATCTGATCCTGAACTCGGAGCTCAAGGATGACTTGCTTCTGTACCAAGATGAGGAAGCCCTCAATGACTCCATCATTTCTGGTGAGAAGGACAGAGGCCAGGGGAGGGATCCAGCCAGCACCGTGTGGCCTGGCATGGGGTCCACAGCCATGTGGAAGCTGGTGCTTCTCTACCAGCCACTGGCTGTGCAGGGTGCACTGAGCAGACATGGGGGTGGATTCCTTGGTAAATGGGCCCTTCCCTGGGGGTGCCAGGGTCTCCAGGGACTTGGGAGACACTGAGTCAACCTGCTATGTCTGGGGGGTTCATATCAGTCCCATGGGTGTTTGACTGTATGTAAAAGTGATGCTGTGGGTGACCTTGAGAAGGTCATCCTTGAGGATGACATGGCCAAAGGTATAGAGGTCATGTGCCAGTGGCCAGGGTTGGAGATTGTTTAAAACAAGATGAAACGCAGTAGGGAAGGAGGGCAGAGAGAAAGGTTGCCTGAGGAATTGCTCCATCCCAAACAGCCATGACAGGAGTGATGTGAGTGGACACAAGTGTGGGCTCATGCAAGGCAGGAGGCTCACGAGGCCTGTGGGAGACCAGGTCCATGTTTGGACACCAGAACCAAGTGACTCCACTCTGAGGACTGGGCTCAGGGCCACGAAAGAATGCAGGAAGGAAGCTGGGAGGCCTTACTGTCCTCTGATTTCTCCAGTCTGGAAAATGGAGAGGTGGCAGGTGTGAGTGTTACACCCAGCTGGAAAGAAAGGGATTTCGGTGGCAGGATGACAGATGGGCTCGCGGGGAGCCCAGGGTTGGACAGAGGCCCCTTCTGTCACTTTGCATGTTCAGAGCCTTCTGCCCCCTGGTCTGATACAGGATTTCTGAGCGTGCGGGCTGCAACGTATGAGGGACACTCAAGGGAACTCACAGCCAACGGACACAGAGGAGGGTGACTTTGATAGTTGAATCTTTTGTTGTGGTAGAAGCCCAGAGCCAGTCATTGGCCAAAGAGCAGTGCCAATGGCCCGTGAGTTTCCCTTGGGTCTGGAACCCATCCCTGGAAACAAACAGCGGCGGTCTCTGCAGGACAGCTTCTGGCATCAGGCCTTCCCTCCAGCTAGACCTTCCCTGTGTTTAAATGGGTTCACCCCTGATGCCCTCACAGGGTTTGGCTCAGAGTGAGCTTCAGATAGCATGCACATCCTTCCTCAAGCATGGCAGAGGAGGTCCTCGCATGAAGAAAGCATCCAGGTGGGGGTCGCCTCCATACAGCGCATCGTTAGGCCATCCAGAGACGAGGCTGTAATGCCTCCAAAGAGATGGAAGCCTGTGCATCTTACTGCCTGGGAAGCTCAGCCTGCCCCAGGTCTGCTTTCAGACACTTGGTTGAAGGCTCAGCTAGATGTGTAACCTGGGGTCTCTGAGCCCTAAAATCAAACACAGACCGTTTTATCATCACATTCTCGAACGTGACTGTAACTCTTCAAAGGTACACATTTCTGTGATTGTTTGGGAGAATTCAGTGAGTCCATAGATGTTGCTTTTGGGAGGAAAATTACTCACGTGGGAAACCTCCCATGAGGCTCTGCTGCCCTGCCTGCTGAGGACAGGGTCAAGATGAGCTGTTAGCCCCTCTCCATAACTTCTTGAGTTGGGCCTCTGCTCTCTACTAGTTGGCTACTAACAATATGGGAGACAGGAAGGCAGGAGGTCGGCAGGCATTGGGTCTGCGATGACAGAAACATCAGTGTGTGTGTGTGCTTCAAGTTTCAGCACCTGTCACCCATAGTCATTCTCTCCCCGCCCCCTGCCCCCGCCCTCTTTCTCTTTCTCTCTGTCCCTGGCATCTTAGTAGCAGCATTGTGTCCTGTATGAATGTTCTAAGGAAAGTTTTGCTACCTTGGGACCCTGAATTCTCAGTCAGCACCATTTTGCGTTTGCCTCAGAGCACAGTTTCTAGAAAAGTAGTGGTCCTATTAGGGGCTGGCCTTGTTTCTGAATCCCTGGGATATAGGCTATCTGCTGGTGGTCTCCCTGTACTAAAGGTGTTTGCTGCGGTCAGAATCAGGTAGTCCCAGATGGGTCATGTGTCACGTGTCGTGTAAGCGGCCCAGTGAGGAGCTCACAGGTGCTGGGTGTGTACTGGTCCAGATGTAGAGCTCAGTGTGCACACTGGTACATGTGAGCTGTCACATGCATACACACCTGCATATATACAGGTTCAGGCATTGTGGTCATCTTTGGGATCAGCTGGGCCTTCAGGGAATCTTCTACACAGGGAAGACAAATTTCACAAGAAGCCGTTCAATATCTGTCAATGTTTGTGTTTGTCTTTCGTCCTGTTGTCAACCCAGGCGTAGAGCCCATGTTGGCTGCTACACTATCCCTGCACCTGACCCAGGGGAAGGAAGCGTAGATGGGGGAGGGAACATGGGGCAAGGGGCTTCTGCAGCAACAGAACTGTGAGAAGAGTTGAATGAGAGAGGAAACCTTTCCAGAACTTTTTCAGCTCTCTACACAGCTTGTCCCTGCATGCAGACCCCATCCACCCAAGGTATTCATGCCTGTAAGCTGCAGGGCCATGAGGCATTCCTAACATACTCCCAGCTAAGGTGGCAAGTCCCCAACTTCACAGTTACAAAATACGACGGATCTGCCTGTAGTCTGCGATCGACATCTGCAGACAGCTGTCCTCCTGCTCGTAGACTGCGCCTCTCCTTGCAACCCCACTTGGAAAGAGAAGCCAGAAGTCTGTGGTTCTTATAAAGCACTGATCTGGAGCTGGAGAGACAGCTCAGCGGTTAAGAGCACTGGCTGCTCTTGCAGAGGACCCAGGTTCGGTTTCCAGCACCCACTTGGTGGCTAACAACCATCTGTAATCCCAGGGGATCTGACGCCTCTTCTGTCCTCCATGGGCATTGCACAGCATGGGTGGACTTGCATGCAGGCAATACACTCATACTCATAAAATAATAAATAAAAAAATTAAAAATAAAGGCACTGATCCTACTACAAAGGCCCCACACATACGACCTTACCTCCCCTCCCCCGCCCCCAGACCCACCTTAACAACTGTCCCTGTGAAGGCTCAGGCTTCAGGACAAGAATACGAATACGGGCAAACGTTCATCATGGTTTGGGATTCTCAGTTGAGGTCCGTCTCTGTGTCCACATGGACTTACAGCACAGAGAGACATTTCTGTGGTGCAGTCACCCTAAGGGTGGTGGGATGTCTTTGATACTTCCATTCCTAGAACTGTGATCTTGGGTGAGCTTGCTAACCTCTCTGCTCCTTGGCTATACCTTCTGTGAAGTGGGCTGGAGACAGCCCCCACTCCCCACCCCCACAGTCCTTCACAGAGCACCCAGGGTGAGGGCTCTTCTTCTGACAGGGGCAGCTGTTCCTGTCCTCACTACACGTGGCCAGGTTAGAACCTCACAGAATGAAAGCACTTGCTGTTAGTTCACATTTTTTTAGCTGGTGTAAGTTATACCTCATTTTCTTAGTCCATTCATTTAGCCGGAATCAGAGCCTCCTGGAGCTGACAGGCCTGTTCTCAGCCACCAATCCCTCAGACATGAGTATGATTGGACATGACTTCACTGCCTGTTAGCAAGGAACAAGGTCAGGAAGAATTAGTCATCTGTTGTCCCTTGTGGCATGCAAGAGCAGAGCAAAGGGTTCCTTATGTCATTATAGGCTTGGGGAGCCAGGAAAAGGCCTCTAGGCGGCATGTGCTATAAGCCACCTGTCCCAGACCAGGCCATTCAGATGCACAGCTCTGCTTTCTGTGACAGACAAGACCTGTGGCAGGTTATCACACGCCCAGACCCTAGTCAGTTTCCTATAACTTGCAGACATTGGGGTGTCTCCTTTGTTGTGGTTGCTTATGAAATGTCACCATTGGCTTATGTATTTAAACACATGGTCCCCAGCTGGGGGGTGGGCCTTGAGATGGTGCTTCATTGAAGGAGGTGTGTCACTGAGAGAGTGGCCCTTGGTGATTGACAGTTGAGTAACTTCCTGTTTGTCCTCTGCTTCCTGACTATCGATGCAATCTGATTGCCCATCTCAAACTCCTGCCCCTGCTCTCTCCCCGTCCATGGTGCACTGTATCTGTGTTGGTCAGAGATCCCTGGAGGAACAGAACAGAACAATGACTGTCCCACACTGGAGAGGCTGAGAATCTGTTCACAAGGCTGAATGTATGGGCAATCCCAATCCGGCACTGAAGACCTGGAAGATTCCTAGAGAGCTGATCTTTGGTTCATGTTAGAACCTAAGGAAGCTTGTTGTAATATCAGTGGAGGAGTACCACAGCAGACTAGTTAAACTCACCAGTGAGAGAGAAGGCAAGCAGGCAAGAATCCAAAGCTCCCTCCTGCCATGACTTTTCATCCGGGCCACCCTCAGAAGGTGCCCCTACATTCAGGATGGGTCTTTCAGCTTCAAATGATCTGCTCAAGAAAGTTTTTCAGGAATTTAGTTACTTCCAGATCAAGTTGACAACAAAGATCAGCCATCACAGTGTCCCCCTCGAACCCAGAGCCAAAATAACCCTTTTTCCCCTTAAGTTGCTACTTGTTGGATATTTGATCAGCGCAGGGAGAAAAGTAACTAAACACCCATCTGCTGTGGGGATGAGTGAGAGGTTGGCCGAGGGCCTACACGGGGCACACCATGCCCTTCTCGGCTAAAAACAAGCCACAGGAGCCCTCCTGATCCCAGGCACCCGCACAGCCCTAAGACATCAAGTGTCCGGCTCTTCCAGTTAATCCCTGGTGCACAGCAACTGAAAATCCATCTCCTGCCCCAGCTCATAGGGTCGGCAGGCTCCAGGGAGAAGGGGGCAGAGTGCTGGGCTGTGACAGGGTCTTTATGTAAAACATCAACACTGTGGGGAGTGACTCCTCAGCTTGCTCCTGCCTAGCTACATGGCTGCGTCCCCTCCCAAAGTCCTGTGCATCTGTCTGGGTCTGCCTTCCTTCGGCCGTGGTCCTGCTCTCAGATCCACACTTGTCAGTCAATCTTGCCTCTTCATCCCTGGTTCTAGACTATCTCGCACACACAGTCGGGCATCCTTTCTTAA